GCACTTCTGCCTAATCCCTGAAATGGAGAAGAAGAAGAAGAAGAAGAAGAAGAAGAAGAAGAAGAAGGATCAAGATTTTCCCACTTTTTCATTATCAGACCTCTGTATACAAGTTTTTTGATTTTTTTTTTTCTTTTTCTTTCTTTTTTCAAAAATACAATACTTTCTCCATACTTAGTAAGTAGTATGCAAGAAAGTAAGAAAAAAAAGTGTATCAATCTTGTTCTAATAAATTGCAAATTATATCTTCTGACATGTGTAGTCAGAATCAGTTTTGTGGGTCTTTAATACTGAACTAGGGGTTCTACAACAGTCCATATTTATAGCGTTTTCTGGTAACAATTACATTATATTGTATTACAATTACTGCCTTACAAATACTTCAGCCATTACTTGAAAAACAAATTCAAACGATGTGTCTGCGGTAAGAATCTGCAAATTATTTCAACAGCCAGGTACAGTAGCCATTTCTTACTTTCACCAAAGAAACAAACATGAGTTAATCACAACTTTTTAGATATTCACTGCACATTGTGCAGACATCCAAGAATAATTTCACACAAGGATTGCCTTGATAACATCAATGTGAGCTTCCAATTTTTGAATGAATATACCATAATTGGTGTTCATCTTTTGAAAATTTTATATGTAAATAAAATGAATAAACTCAAACATTTAATGGATAAAAAAGTTGAAGGCCATCCGATATATAACCTTACAAATGTATAAAAATGTGACAAATTAGCACTTTTCATTTTTTCTTTCAATTTCTTGCATCTTCACAACACATATTTTAGACCTTCTTTGGCACTGAGTGTATGTGGAGTGTCTTTTTGTCTCCTTGTATCGCAATGTTAGTTGGGGCCATCTCTTCAGTCTGGGGCTAAGCACCGCTAGTAACCAGGATTCCCAGAATATCATCCATCCAAGGATCTGTGGAGTCCTGAATCGCGTAACTTCCAAGACTTAAACAATTCAGCTAATCACGCAGGCTTTAAGTATTTATTGAACTTGTTTAAATATTTCTAATTATAGTAGTATGTGAAAAAGTAACTAATAGTGATAAAGAATGGAACTTTCACGAGGTAGTTAGTTCTGTGATATCTTTAGTCGGACTAGTATTTCCCATTTTTTCCATCTACTAATGTCACTTAAGGGTCATTTCTCAGACTTTATTAGTTTTTGAACATTTAATAGAATTGAAGTATGATTAGGAATATTGTAGATGTGTAAAACCTGGTTCTATAAGCAAATTTTCTCACAAAACATTTGAGTTTTTGGGACGTTTTATGAGAAATCATTTGACGGATTTGTACTCACAAATGTAGAGGTGTATAAATACACCTGTAATTGAGGAGAGCAATTTCACGTGAACATGTGGTGTTACAACAGCTCATACTTTATTTTACAACTGCTTACACTTAATTTTTAACTTTTCCAATTATTAAAAATTGATAGTTCTGCAAAAAGAAGACCTATGCAGTTTTTTCAAACATCCTTTGCTCTCGGGGGGGGGGGGATTGGAGCAGTTCCTGAAGAAAAAAAATAGTAAACTGTGGACTTCAGCCAGAAAATAATGTGTATAATCATTATTGTACCTTTGCAATGCTTTTTTAATTTAATTACAGCTTGTTTGGCAAAAGTGGAAATATTGTACATTTTTTTAGGGTCTAATGCTGTATCTGAAGTAGAAATTTAAAGAAAACTGGTGGTGCTACAGAATGGCACAGACTTTCCCATATTAGTTTTCTATTTCCTTTGGTCTGTGTTAGCTATTTGAATTTGCCACATAGATAAAATGCGAAATTTTGAGCTAGTTTTCATGTAAAACAGTAGTTTTTGAGAAATTTTATATGAGATTTAAAGCACATGTACTCATAAATTCAATAATGTGAACAAATTACTGCTCATAAGTATTAGCAACATAAATAGATAGTAAAAAATTATACTGACAAAATGACACAGTTTGACAAAATGTTTTATTTGAATATACCAAAAGACATTTAAAAATGTCACAGTTCACATTTCTGTTGTGCTCTGTAAAGTTTCGAAAATTGCATTAGTTAACAAAGTTTTTTTTGCATCTTCCTATGACAACAATGCAATTTTTTTCTTTTCTTCTCAATTCTTCAAAATTAGGTCTTAAAATAAGGTCATGTACCCTTTTTTGGAAATATGTGTTTCACTTAATTTTTGCAAATCTGTGCAATAGCAAATATGAATTTCTAATGCTTTGTTTCCTGAAGTGCATTTCATGATAGGTCAGCTCACAATAATTTAGTCGCAATATTGCAACAAGGCTGTGTAATATTCCTTTTTGTTTCCTTTTACAAGAATATAATAAAAACTGCTTTCATTGTATATCAGATTTTGAGTACTTATTTGTGGAATTTAAACATTTTGTATTCTTCATTCATCATTTTTTGAACTACAATATTCTTCATTATGGTTGTAGTTGCTTCTTACATAAACTACTGAAGTTAAATGAAGCGATTTATATGAATGTAACAGAACATGCTCGTCAAAGGAGTTTGATCAAAATTTTGAATCATTCTGCAGAAAAAAGTAAACTTTAATTGCATCCAAAATTAAGTGCAGACATTTCCAATTACAATTAAAACATTCATTACAAAAATACTAATTTGTGATTTATTCCATCATGCAGCAGCTTGGCACAGCCCCTTTTTATTTTAAGTTGAATGTCCTTTTCTGTGTTTCTGTTATTTTGGCTGTTAATACAGAAGCCCACCTGTGGCACACCCCTGCTAATATCATTCTCAAATTGGTCACAACATTATTATATTATTATCATCATCATTATTTTTATTATTATTTTTTATTACCATTATTATTTTTATTATTATTATTATTATTATTATTATTATTAATATTATTATTAATATTATTATTAATATTATTATTATTATTATTATTATTATTATTATTATTATTATTATTTGTTTTGGAGAATTCTACCTGAAGTGTAGTTATTTGTTGTTTACTAATTTTTGTAATTTCCTTTATCTATTTATTTTATTTTCAACGTGTAGCTTGTCTATGTGATTACATAGATTATCTTGTAAATCAAGAGTTAAAAAACAAATTTTTCATTGACAAGATGTATTAGTAAAAAATATTTTTAAAAGTTAATTTAAAAAATCTATTTCTGTCAATTTTCTCTCAAAAAGCTGTTAAAATGACTAAAGAGTAATTACTAATAACATGAGAATTGTGTAGTTTGTCAAAGATACACGATATAGAATGATGAAAAAGCTTAATTATATATTTTTCATTGTGTATTCACTCTTATATTATTTTTTCTTTGCCGATAGGTGATAACGATGTCGAATTTTCTTTGACTCAGCCATTACTGTTTCGGAATAGAGAAGACACTAATGTAACAGGAAGTAGGTAAGTAGTTAAAATTAGAGAATTGTGTAATTAAAAGTCTCCTTAAAAAATGTACTGCTTAAATATTATTTTCTTCAGAATGTCGAGAAGTTCATTGTCAGATGGTTTAGAAGATGAAATTATGCTTCTTCATCTATTTGAAATGCAAGATCGCAATAACACAACAGCTATTGATCCAGCACAATGGACACCTCCTTTGTACAATTCTTCTGGTAAATGTTTTTTAACAAATATTGACTTAGCCATTTGTCAAAATTTGTCTATTAGGTCTTTTTTGCTTTATTTCTTTTGGGTTACATTGATAAATGTTGAAGCATTGGTTTACGCATTTTAAAAGCATTCTTTTATAGAACAAAAAGAAAATCCTTTTGTAAGCATTAATACAAGGAGTACAATTTTCTGTTTAGTTTCACCGAAACCTCCACATTGGCCGCAACTTGCATTTGCTGTATAATTTTGATGTTTCTGGTGTTTTCAAATTGTCTATTATCATTAAGGAGAGAGTACAAAACTAAACATTTAAGAAGTTCTAAGTATTGTTTTAAGACACCTCTACAACGTTGTGCTTTTATATTTATTTCCGAAATAGTTTGCTGTTTAGCAAATATGTTAGGCGGTTGTCTAGAATAAGCTAGCTATACACCTGAAATTGTTTTTCAGGATTTTGAAGGTAAGAATTTTCAGTTGTTAGGCCTATATTCAAAGTTGTACTAATGTGATCTGCTCCCCATGACCACTTCAAAGGGAGAGAGCAGAAGTGTCGATATAAATTACAGATGAATCTTAACACATCTGGATACCAGGAGATCTGAATGATTATCCAAGAAATATACCTAGGTTTGAAGTGCTTAGTAATTTATTTATAAATTTATAAACAGCTAAATCTGTATGCAAGATATTTTAGAGGATATAAGCTAAAAGTACTGTCCAGAAGTATAGCAAGGTGCCATCAGGATAAGTATAGCCAGGGGCAATAGCTCTAGGAGAAATGAATCTAGGCGAAACTGGATGAAAACCCCGATCAATATGATCTTTAACTGGTCTAATAGGAAAATATAAATGCATTTGGATATGATTACGTAGTGAATTTATAATTCCCCTTGCAAGTTGAAGTAAGTTTGTGAAAATTATTATAAATCGTTTATTCAATAACTATGCAAATAGGAAAAGCTAAGATTAATCCATAATTTTCTCTGTAATATTCTTTTAATTTGCTAACATCATGAACTATGAAAATTGCTAGATAATAGTATTGGTCGTATTATTTTTCCATTTGTTGTTTCTTCTAAACAATTTAACAATTTCGGTTTTATCTTCCAAAATGGTAGAATGTGAGAAAACATTTTCTAATATTTAGGAGCACATTTTCCTCTTTTTTAGGTTCTAGACGAGACTTCAAGTCCAGAACAGGTCGAATAAATCGTCAACCACTTGTGACTGCCAGTAGTGTTTTAGACACACTCCAGCTTGTCGTCGGGCGTGTAGGTACATCATCTGAAAGCCAAACTTCTTCAAGCGGCCCACTCAGTATTGCCAGCAACTACCAAATAACCCCTCATCATTCAGCAGTTTCAGACACACAGCTCATGGCTCCTAAAGGTAAAAACACATTTTTTGTCATTCTAAGTTCACTTCTCAAAATTGTGCTTTTAGCAAATCAGGGCATTTTTAACACAATAGGCATTTTTTTATAATAGGCATACTTTTACATATTTTGTACTGTATTACATGATTTACATATTTTGCTGATGTTTTACGTAATTCGCAACTTTTGTATCATTTCACCAATTTTCTTAATATTATTTCCTCAAAAATATTTAATAAATTTTCAGAAATAGTTTTTACTTTAGTTATTGGCTGTCTTTCTTACACATATTCAAAATTGCTTGCGGACATTGCTAGGTGCCCTATATGTAGACATGCTTCAAGTGTGTGCAGTCTTTGTGAGTCTTTCTCCTTCTCCATTACATAGTTATTGCGACAAAAATGTGCGAGTGCTGAATTATCTTTTAGGTATGAGAAGTATCAGTGATGCCATGATTTTTTATTCAAACCAATTTATGAGTGACCTTAGTTGTTGCAGACACTACAATGACAATGCTATAGTGATAGTTTGCCAGTCATTTTGCCAGTGAGTTCCCACATTTGTACGATGCCTATGATTGCTCTTAAATATAAAAATGTACTCTTAAAAAATTTAATTCAGTAGATCAAGCAATATTTATTTTTAAAATTGGTTTAATAAACATTTTATTCATGTAATTTCAAAATGTGTAACTTATTTTATTTGTTTCTAAATGTTGTATAAATAAAAGCATATTTTGTTATTTCATATATATGTAATTTATGTAGTCATCTTATAATTTTTATTACATATTTATGTATCTATTTTACTGTTTCATACTACATTTTTTTCCAAATTCTACTTATGGTGTTAGATATTTGCTAAATTGCAGTTTCATCAAATTTCAAGCATTAACAAAAATAATTTGGCTCTTGATTTGATTAAGTTCTTCGCTCTTTCCTACTTTCTTGTTCAATGCTTTGAAAATATTGCAAGATCCATGGTTTATTTTTAATGTTTTCAAATTATAAATAACATGTATTAGTTGACTGAAAAGAAATGTTTCCAGCAATAATATCTATAAACTACTTTATGAATGTAGAGAACAAGAAAACCTACGTACAAGAAAAATAGAATTCTGTCTCTAAGAACAATGTTCATATTGCAAGCGAGACCTTGCTTCCATACTACTTAACACATTGCGGACTGCAGACAAGAATTCTCATCATCTCGTATGTAAATAGGGAGGATAGCAGATAGAGGTTCTCATCTTGGCACATTCTCACATGTGAGGCATCCATCATATTAATATTTTAAGGATATTAGCTCTTGTCTGAATAATACTAGTGCTTTGGTACCTTTTTCAAGGCCCTCTGTATTCTGAAGATTTTTCATGTGTTCGAACAGACATATTATTGATAGAAGTCTGAAATCAGCATCCTGTGAAGACAATCTGCAATATGTTAACACTAGAATGCCCAGAGGTGTAATTACTACTCCTAACTTTAGTTATGTCTTTGTAACATTTTTGTTTTTGAGGATAGAATTTTGTGACTTTTCTTGAATTTAAATCAGTCATTTACAGTACGTTAAAAACTGCATCACGTAAAAAGCAAATTTCATGAAAAATAATCAAATTTACCTACTACACCTGTGAAGCGTCATTTCGCCTTCTTGGATGCTAAACCAATTTTGTATATTTAATTGTTGAAAAATGTTTAATGTTTCTCCTATTTCCTTTTGTAACATTTCAGATACCTTCTGGAGATGCGAGTCTTCCTTCCGCTTTGCATTGTTTCCTGGTCTCTTTGTTCAATACATGAAAACTTATGATTTTCTATTTAGACAAAATTTATAGGACAAAGTACGAAGACGTAGAAATCAGAATACAAAAGGGCAGCTTAGCATGGTGATTCCGGCAGGAATTTTCCTGAACCTTTCTTATAAAAGTTTTATTTCTTTGACCATTTTTTGGGCAAAGAAAAGTTACATGGAAAAGTATTGATTCATGTAAATGCTGGAAAGAAAGTATAGTAATTCAATTTTACCAGTGTACCTACAGGTGCATTCAAACCACCAAACCTCATGTAATGAATTCTTTGTGTGGTGAATGAATTGAATTCTTCCTAAATATTGTAGAGGGAACTGGCCTAAAATTGTAGAGAGGAATCAAATGAGCTAATTAAGATGAAGCTGCGCTGAATGAATTAAATTCAACACCCTTCTGTTTGGAACTTTTGATGTGAAAACAGAACAAATAATATTGTCGTAAGTTTTCATTAACTCTCAAGTAACTGGTATTGTTACCTCTAATAGGAACATGAAAAAAATCATAACTTTTATTAAATTTTGTATGCTAATTAAAACACAGATATTAAGTCCAAACAACAATTGTAAATTAATTTGGAACAGTTACTTACTTTTTCTGAATAGATGGCATCTTCATTTTCGTACTTTAAGCATTATTACGTTATGTTAATGTTATTTACATACAAGTTGGAACATGTATTGTATGTTCACAATTAATGTAACATTCTCATTTATCAGCTGGTTTTCACCCCTATACTCATTTACCCTACCAAAATCTGAAAATTATTTAAGGAAGCTAAAATATATAAATACATACAAGAACAAAAAGTAGTTCCTCCTGTAGATTTTACTTTCATGATCAGGCACATGGGTGAATTCTGTTGTGGACATCAGCAGATGGTGATAGAAAGATACTGTTGAATTTTCCAGGAATGAGGAAGTAAAAGGTTGGTGTGGTGAATGGAGTTCACCAATGCATCCACTGTAGAGTTAAGAAGCATTTTGAAGTGGACATAACATAGGAAAATAGCTTAAGTTGGAACTTAAATCAAAACCAATTTTATTTTATGGCCTAAAAATGGATTCTTAAATACAAAGGACACTCGGGCTGGATGAATTTCTACATGACAGTTCAAGAATAGAAACACTAGACTGACAAAGATACAAGGACACGAAAAAGACGCTCTTGACAAAATATATAGTAGAGGCTATGAAAGTGATCTCCCTCCCACATCCATAGAATGAAAGATAAGTCTGTTAAAGCTTCCTTTCATGAATAAGCTCATTGGACAAAGAGGCAAAAGAAGCAAATCAAATGGAGGAATAACCAACAAGATGTGATTAAACTGAAATGGGCGACATGCCAGTTATGCCTCAGGTTCTTGTTGATGATATTACTTCAATTACCATGCCTGGTGTAGGAACATTTTAGAATTTATTTCTGACTTAAGCTATATAAAACTAGGATTTTAGGCTTTAGAGCATTAATCGTAATTTTTTAGTTCTCATAATAAGATCAGCATTTTTAGGCACTATTAGTGAAGGTCCTAATATATTAAATTGAACTAATTTGTCCTAATTTTCAGTGTTTACTCACAGAAAGCATGAGAAAGGCATTGCCCTAAAACTAAAAACTGATACTATTACAGTATTACTTATTGCGAGGTCTTACAGGATCAAATATCAATAGTGATGGGATTTTTGACACTAGCATTTTAATTAAATTTAGTTGCCTAGAGCACGCTACTAGCATTTATTGGTATAGCTCTGCGTTTCTCGACCAGAAACAGATGAAAGCGTGAACAGTACCCTAAGAAACCACACACAGACAGCATACGAACTTTCCATTCTCATTCTTGGCCTCTACTCTCTCCTCACCCACACACAAACACACGCAAGCGCGCTCGCACACGCGCGCTCGCACGCGCACGCGCGTACGAACACGCGTGCACACACAAAGACGCACACACGCATGAACACGCTCGCTCGCGCGCACCTCACACACACGCACGCGCAACTCACTCACGCGCACAACCCACGCACGCGCACCTCACACACGCACGCGCACCTCACACACGCACGCGCACCTCACACACGCACGCGCACCTCACACACGCGCGCTCCTCACACACACACACGCGCGCGCTCCTCACACACACACACGCGCGCGCTCCTCACACACAGGCGCGCTCGCTCCTCACACACACGCGCGCGCGCTCGCTCCTCACACACACACACGCGCGCTCCTCACACACACACACACGCGCGCGCGCTCCTCACACACACACACGCGCGCGCGCTCCTCACACACACACTCACGCGCGCGCGCGCGCGCTCCTCACACACACATACACACACGCGCGCGCGCGCTTTTCACACACACATACACACACGCGCGCGCGCGC